TCTTGATGAGAAAACAATGCCTCATGTTTATGTTATTGTTAGCCGCATCTACGGCAGTTACACAAGGAGTTATATCTTGATGAGAAAACAATGCATCATGTTTATGTTATTGTTAGCCGCATCTACGGCAGTTACACAAGGAGTTATATCTTGATGAGAAAACAATGCATCATGTTTATGTTATTGTTAGCCGCATTTACGGCAGATTATTTTTGTACCTCATGAACAGCAAATCGGACGCCACTTACACAAGGACTTATCTCTTGATGAGAAAACAATGCCTCATGTTTATGTTATTGTTAGCCACATCTGAGCGCGCTGAGAAAAATCCATTGAAAATAAAATTTCGAAAAGATATTGTCGAGTCGTACAAACCTATTGTTTGGGCCGAGCCCCGACCAATTTCCATGTTGCAGAATGTCAGTCATTTGTCGAATACGCACTGTTAACCAGTGTTTCAAAGCAAAAATTATCTTTTTTCCATTGATGATGTCTTTTTACTGCTTACGCGATAGCTTGTCTTTAATATAATTGCCATCGGCTCATTAACAAACTTGCGGTTATCTTGTTGTTTATCACACAATTTTATGATATGGCTACAATAGTACACGCGATTTGATTGGCTGTTTTCTTATAATGAGCGGGCAGTACTAGCTGGGTTTCCAAAACATATACAATCTGTGTTTAATTTGATAGTGGACATCCTTACGGACATATATGTTATGGTCAATTTACAGCTGTCAGAAAGGGCGTACGGTGACCACTGTCACCTGACTGTATTGCGGGCTCAAGTGTACAATTCATTGAGGTGACGTGTTCCTTAGGTAGATACTTAATATATGATTCGTATAGTGTACCGATATATAGATTCTTATAGTGCAGTCTTTCATATATGAAGTACCTACCGTTCCTTACATTGTTTTAAAGTTATCCCGTGGCCAATTGTTGGTTTTAGTTCATCGCAAGCTCAGGTCCATAATGAAAAGGCCATATAATGAATAACTTATAAATCTCGTCCGTTTGGTCATTACAGGGAAATCTCAGACCTCAGCCTTGAAGTATTGATCTCGCTATCCCTCGGTCAATACATCAAGGCCTCGGTCTGAAATTTCCCTGTAATGACCTCACTGTCGGTTTATTAGTAGTATGTAGTATTAGTGGGACCTGTCCGATTGTTCCCTCTTGATTCACCGTAATGTGTTCATGCTCTAAGCTTCCTCCATTATGCTCTAACTGAAAGACAGTAGTTGAAGTTCACTCGGTGTTTAGTTTGAATGTAACCCACCCAACCCAGGAAAGGTTGGCCACACCACCGGGGTCTACGTCTCCTACTCTTTTCGACCAGTGGTGTGGGTTCTTTTCCGTCCGACAAGAACAAGATAAGTGAAAGTGCTGAGAGACGGGACCTACGGTTTTCGTCCTTTCCGAAAAGACTAAAAAATCTAACCGTTTGCAGATGTCATTACAGAGGCAGCACTTTCTTCTCATTTTTTATTTTAAGTCTCAGTTATTTAAAGACCCTGAGTGTTGGTCCGGCCAGGGTTTGAACCCGCGAACTCCCGCTCAGCAGACCGGTGGAACCGGCGAGAAGACGGTCACAACAGCGTTCCACGTCCTGTCTTCTATAGACCTCTAATGGACATCTCTATCATGATACTATCTCTGCCACTGCGTGAGTTGTATATACACTTGTTTGCAAAGAAGCAAGCTCTTCATTTCGACTGAAGAGGGAAGTGTGCCGCGAGAGAATGTGCGCGCGCCAAAATGGAGGGGAGAAAGGAATGCTGGCAACGGATCAAACATGATTTCTAGCAACGCTCAATGAAGACCGCTTTCTGTGTCTGTGAGAGATTACGTACTGCCGAATGTGTGGGTGTTTTCAAAGGTTTAATTTAGAAGCCTTAAGCTCGCACATTGGAACTAAAAACTTAACCTTCAAAGCAGAAGGCTGTGTAATGTAGAAGTTGTCATTAAACTATCACGATAATGAAACTAACCGATAGGGACGAGTTTCGCCACAGTGAAAACAGAATCTGTTTCTAACATTTAGCTACACTTTAAGAGTCACACAAGCACTTATTGGAATGTAGCGGCCGACGAAAAGTTGTATTTAAGTTTTCGAACCGGTCTTGCAGTTGAAAGAACACTGAGGAACTTCATACTTGCGGGCGTTTAGGGCTGAAACTTCATCATTACTAAACGTGTGGCCCCTGCTCAAAGAGATTTTTTCTGGTATACTACAAACTGCATACTTTAACCATAAGTACTATCCATCCTTTATTATATACGCACAAGCTACGAGGATGCCTCCTCCTGCTGGGGCGCAATTTAATAACTTGTTATAATGAAATATGTGATCTTGCCCTGAGCGATCATTTGGAGTGTTAGAATGCATGTTTTCCAAGAGCAAAGCGGAAGTAATCAGGGATGGATTTTACCATAGCCGCTCAGAGTTAAAGTGCAATTTAGCACTAACATTAAAAAAAGCAAACAAACAAACAACAACGAACACCAATAAAACGAAATTCAGATCGCCTTTTAAAAAAGAGCAGATTATTAATAATGACGTTTTAGCAGTTTTTTGTTTTCACAATCATACATAACATAATTCGTTGTAATTCGTATAATCCAATATACATGTTTCCTAATGAAAACCAACCTTGCAGTGAAGCACTTAGTGCTTCACCAACTTTAGGTGGATACTACCATCATTTTAANCAAACAAACAAACAACAACGAACACCAATAAAACGAAATTCAGATCGCCTTTTAAAAAAGAGCAGATTATTAATAATGACGTTTTAGCAGTTTTTTGTTTTCACAATCATACATAACATAATTCGTTGTAATTCGTATAATCCAATATACATGTTTCCTAATGAAAACCAACCTTGCAGTGAAGCACTTAGTGCTTCACCAACTTTAGGTGGATACTACCATCATTTTAAAACTATTACCGTAAACTTGCTCTTTTTCGGCCCCCTCTAGTAAGAGGCCCATGTAAACAAAAAAAACATATCCGGTTGTAAAGCTCCCGGATATAAGCCCCAATCTAGCTTGTATTCAGTCTTCGCGTGATTAAAAAATTAAGCAGTTCAGATTTTTTTGGAACAACACATCCACGAACAAACTTAACTGCAGTGGTGAAGGAGGCAAAAATCAAGGTCTTATAATCTTCCTTCTAACGCCGAACTCCTCTTTAACAACAAGGTCTGGATCCCAAGATTAGGAGTTGAGTTCTCCTACCGTCTAACGCAGTAATGTGACTCTTCTTACTTATCTTTCTTACACCTTGCGGACCCTGTACCTTACCCTCGGACCTTGTATAATGTAAATGATGCAGCTCATTAAGTATCAGGGCTTCTGATATTTAGCGCGGATGCAAGGCTGCAAAATTCAGGTAAATCTGCAAAATTCCACGAAATTCTCAAAAACATGCAAAATACTTCGAAATTCCCTAGAAATCGTACCAAATACATGTTAATACAACATATTTGAAACTTACCTCGGCTATTGGGGTTGTCTAATTGCCTTAAACTTGCAAATTTATCTTGAAACTTCATCACCACAATGAGTGGTAGACCCAAAACTTCTAGGTGGAAATTATGTTGCTAAAAACTGGGCATTAGTCATTATGTTAAAAGCTTAGCCATATGCTCATTTCTCAAGCGCTTAGTTGTTACAATAGGAAATGATCATCTCTGTTTAAAAACATTAAACATGCTCGTCAAATCAGCGCAAAATCGAAAAATCCCCACAAAATCGGCCGTTTTTTACCGATTGTTTTTCGGCGAGGTTAGCCCCGAATCTGTCTCTGAAAATCCCGCTATATTTGACTTTTTTTTGGGACCAATCAGAAGCCCTGTACTATGGTGAAATCCATCAGATATAACGCGAACAGAAGTCTGTATAAATTTGGAGGTAAACTGGCTTTGTTCATGCCATTTGGCACATTTTATATGACGAAAGCAAAGCAAGATATGATGAAATGTTTGTTTTCACTTTACTCTTTTACTTTAAATCTAAATCATAGAGAAACCTGGTTGCTAGTAACCAGAATTTTTAGTCGCCAAGGAGAAAATGTTAGTCACATTGGCGACCTTATCAGTTGCAATTTTGAGCCCTGATTTAATGACCAGCTTCCAGATGGTGTGCTAGCTCAGTTGGTTAGAGCACTACACTGGCCTGAATTTTTTCAGGCTTTCTACCTTTAAATTATTGTTTGTTTATTTACGTTTTGTGATGGGAACATAAACAAATTACTCTGGCAATGTACAATAATGTGTAAAAAACCTGTCAAACTTGAAACTACACTGGAGAGAAAATTCTGAGCTGTCAGCTGTGGTATAGAGCCCTTTTTACAATGGATTGATCATGTCCTGTGGCTGGTGACTTGATCAGTCTGGTCCAGATCTCGGGAGGTTTTTACTTTCCCCATATGGGCTATGGGCTCTGATACACAGGTAAATGGCCTCTTTTATACCCCTGGTGGACCAGTTGGGATCTCTATTTAAAATCTGCATAGTCAATGTTAACATCAAACAAACCAGAAAAAATATAATAATTAAAACAAAATACCTAAAATTTGTGTTAGCTTTTGCTGTCATTTACTGGCATGGAGCTCTGAGGAGCGTGCCCAAACCTAAGGGTGGATTCCCTTGCAGTATACATACCCATATAGTCTCTGAATATGCTTGTTTTGAGCGTCAAACAAGCAAATGATATTGCATTTGATTGGGTGCTAAGGGACTCGAAAGTGGTTAGCAATGTTATTTTCACTTGCCTTTTGTCTAACACTACAGGGACGTCATCAGAATGTCTTGGGATAGCTATATTGAAAACCTTATCGCACAAACTAAAGACTCTTCAGGAGCTGCTCATGCTGATAAAGCCTGTATAATTGGATTGGATGGTGGGGCTCCATGGACAAGTGCCGGTCATGCATCTGCATTAAAGGTAAGAATAATTGTCTCAGCTTTGGAATATGAATGTAATTAGGAGTGATTGCTGCATCGTTTAATAAGAGGTAACTTGGACTCTCCCTCCTGACATGAGAAAGAAACAAAAGTGCTGACATACATTTAATAATCGCTAATTACCTTCAAAGCTTTTGCATTTCTGCTTCATGACCTCAGACTATTTCATTTTTAGTCTTGAAACCTTTCTAAATGTCATATTATCTTATACATGTACTTCTTTAGAAAACCTCAACCACAATAGCTTACAGCAGTTAGCATACTGTGCCGATTTTGCCTTAAACAATGAGTTTTGATATCAAGTCTCGCAGGCAGCTGTTATTTCGATCATTATGCAGAGTGTTGTGTGTTACCCAAGTAACAGCAGCTTAGGAGTCTATCGAACATGTGTTGATGTATTAATTTATCGGGCATTATTCTTTCTTACCTGTAGTTGCAAGGAACAGAAGGAGCAAACATAGCGAAGTGCTTTAAAAACAAAGATTTTACAGCTTTTCAGGCCGGTGGTATCTATGTAGAGGGGACCAAGTATCAATTTCTGAGAGAGGAAGATGGGAAGTTGGTTCATGGAAAAAAAAAAGATTCAGGAGCCATCAGTCTGCAATGCAGCAAGACAGCAATTGTCATTGCTCACACTGCTGAAGGTTGCCAACAGGGTAATAGCAACAAAGGTGTAGCCGTAATTGTAGAATATCTGGAAAGCTTGGGCATGTAACGGAAATTGTAAATTTTCTCAAAATATGTTGATAACCTTGGGGGGAGAGTGCTTCCTTTTGAGCCATGTTACCAGTATTTCATCAAGTCTTTGCAGTAGATGAGATTTATAGTGTGTGAAGCAATGTGTTGTTGTTAAAGCCCTTTCCTAGTTTTCGTATTGTGATGATAGCAAAATGTGGAACAAGTTATGAAACTGTTTTATTATCTTGTTTTAAATAAGCAAATCAACCGTTTCATGATCTTTTGCATTTGGTTATAGCTTAAACAGCGACTTCCAATTGAAATGAATAAACTTAATTCTTCATCTTTGGGCAGCTCTTGTTAATTCTTTAGTCTGCCGAACAGTAGCCTCCCACGCAGGCGTTTTTAGGGGAGCTCGTATTTCGTTCCTCCCCACAAACGCCGTTTGTGGGGAGGGACGAAATACGAGCTCCCCTAAAAACGCCTGCGTGGGAGGCTAGCCGAACAGCAGATGGGACTTTGCCTCGCCGTCCACCCTCTCCCACCTCGGCCAACCAGTCGATTATACAGTTGACTCCCGATACCTCGAACCAAAGTCGATTTCCAATGGATTTCCTTTATACATTTACTGTAATTTTACCCTTCGATAACTCGAACCTCCCACTAACTCGAGGTGATATTTGTTTCCCTTCAGATGATTTTTATATAATTTTACCTTGTAGTAAAGTCCGAAACATTGAATTTATTTCAAAACAACCACGTCAATTTTTTTGTCTTTACTTTTTTGTCACTCCAGTTGAAATTCAGTGTTCATCCTTGCATATTAATCAAGCTTTGCATTCCCTCCTCATCCATTTGCTTATTTCCGGTTATTTACTTCGAAATCCCGATAACTCGAACTTTTTTTCGATTTCCCTAGAAGGTTCGAGTTATCGTGAGTCAACTGTACACATTTCCGGATTCTCGTGTGGCTCAGTAAGGTCCCGTTTTATTTGTGTGAAAAAAAGAAATTGTCGCAGGTAGAAAGGTCTCTCGCCTACCCGAGTTACCCTTAGCCTGCGTAGCGAGCGTTTCCGTGGGGTTTGGGAGCAAAGTACGAGGAACGAAAGTAGGGGATCGCGCGAAAATTGTTCTCGTTCCTTTTTTTTGCGCGAACGGAATCGCTTGCCACACAGGAAAGCAGCGCCGAAATCCTTGTTCTGGTCCCCCCGACGGACTCGATGAATTACTGGAAGTGCATTTCGAATTTCCTTTCATCTTGATTGGCAAATTGACATTGGCTTTTTTTTTATAGGCTGATTAGGGACTGGTCAAAAAGTATAGGGGAGGATGGGCCGGAGCAGAGAGGGGGTGGGTCATGACGTTTTGAGCCTTGTGCAAGGGGTGGGTCGTGCAATTTTCAGCTACTCTTAGGGGGTGGGTCACCCTATTTTTTACTAACTACTAACGAGACAGTTGACTACACTTGTTATATAAAACACAGGCAGCTGGAATTATTGCTAAAATACTCACAAACCTGTTGTGCGAGAAAATACAAAGGTTGACAGGCCGCACATCTATACGGGCGTGGAACCCTTTGTCAACCTTCTTTTTTTTCGGCTCTAAGGAGCATGTCCTTTAACGATTTTCCTTTTTTGTAAGGAAATGATCGGTCGTTCTTTTAAAATTTATTGAAGTTATGGTTGGTTTTGTATAAGATTCCATTTTTTCATTCAAGCTACCTTTATAGTAGACACTGAGGGCTGGTATTGTGTCAGGAATGGCAATATTTCTTTTTCCTCCTCGTTTTGTTTTAGGAGTTTAGACTCCCTTTTGTGAATTTGATTTCTGATAGTAGGTTTTCTATCAACGATAGGGGGCACGCAACGAGAATATAGTTCAAAACCACTCAAACATAGCATTGTTAAATGTATTTTAGTATTTAAACAGTAGATATAGGCATATTTCTATCCCCTAAAAATTTTTCATCTGTTCGGATCTCCTAGCTGAAAGTCTAGTGATACGAAAATTATAGGGATCAAAACTAACCTTTTCGAAAATTTTAGCCAGAAAAAAGGTTCCGGAAAATTCTAGGTGACCTTAGGGTAAAACTCCGTTAAAAATGGGCAATTATGCCATTTTTTTAGATGTTCGAAAATCCTAGGAGGGGCAGACAAGCAAGAATTTTACAACAAATGTTCCGAAAATTCTAGATCTCAAATCGTCTTTCGAACAGATATTTTCCGAAAAACTGACGTTGGGTGCCCCTGAAAGATTGTGGGTAGCCTCCGTCCGTCAAGCGTTTTTTTTTAATTTGAATTATTTTCCTCAAAGGTTCTTTCTGAGGAGTTTTTTCGTAGGATTCTTAAGGCTTCTCCTGTGACAAATTCTTTTTTAACATTTGGAGGGTTACACGAGGTGAAATATGTGTGCAAGAAGCTTTCCGTTTGTTTAAAATGTGTCTTTGCATCAAGGATAGATTTTTCCTTGAATCTTGTGCCTTTGTATACAACCGTGTCTAAAAACGTAGTCTCAGTGTCAAATGTTTCGGCCGTGAATTCAATAGTTAGGTGATGTAAGGTTGCTTGTTCAATGAAGGCTTCGATGTCTGGTTTACTCATGTCCCATAGGGAAAAGATATCGTGTATGGGGCATTTCCAAACTGTTGTTCTAAAGACAGTTTTGCTTAGAGTTGTTGTTTCAGTATAGTCATGAAAATATTGGCAAAGGAATCAAAACTGCTGTCTTTGTGCTCATTGCAGTTCCATGGTTTCGTAAGTATTGCTTTCCACTGAAGTGGAAGAAATTTTCGTTGAGGATTAATCTAAGCATTTCCGGCAAGTAATGTGTAAGGAATGGGTTGTCTTTGTTGAAATTTTCATATGCTTTGTGACAGATAATTTCAATATACCCTCGTTTTGCTGTATATTTGTGTCAAGACTCATAACGTCCATTGAAACAAGAAATGTTCGGTTTTTCACTTTCGTCTTTTCAGTGAAAGGTATGATTTCTGTGATTCTGATATTGCTTGTAGCAGTGTATCAACAAATTTTGTCAAGCACAGAACAAGGTTTTATTGGATTATTAAAGGAAACCGAACATCCATGTTTTAACAAGGGGGTGGGTCATGCAATTTCCAACCTTGCCTTAGGGGTGGGTCAGTCATTTTTTTGCCGAAGGGAGGGGTGGGTCATGTGTTTTTTATCAACCACATTTCTAAATGCTCCGGCCCACCCCCCCCTATACTTTTTGACCAGTCCCTTATGGTGATGGCGCGGAACAAGAATTTGGACAATGTTTCGCAGACCGACCAGAGTTTAGTTTCGTCTGTATCGCAGGCTAAGCTACCCTGTACGAGCCATTTTTACTTATATCTCCGTACAAAATTTGTCGAACCATGAACAAGAGAAACAAAACGTTTGCACAGCTAGAAGAGTAACCCTTCTACGGCGTAGCTGGATCAACTTTTCTCCATGTAAACATTCTGGCCCGCCCAGCCGGGTCAAAGCGCAGACGAGACATCCGGAGCATGCACAAGCACCGTTGGCTCGGGGAAGGGAAGAAAATCTCTGAGGGGTGAGGGCGGGGGGGGGGGGGGGGGGGTGGGGTGCTTTTCGGGGAAATTTTTTCTGGGTTTCCGGGGAAGGGTGGGGGGGTTTTAAAAAATTTCAGTTTTTTTTTGGGCAAGTTTTCCCGTTTTTTCTGTTTTACCGTTGTTTGAAGACAAAATTTTTTTTTTTTCCTTTTTGTTTTTTTTTTTGTGTTTTTTTTT